AAGTATAGTTGGATGACCAAATTCATCTTTTCGATTAGTCGAAGGATGTAATTTGTTTTAAAGAATAGTTGGATGACCAAATTCAACTTTTCAAATAATTGAAGGATGAAATGTATGTTAAACCGTTGGACGACCAAATTTGATTTTCCTAAAAGTTAAAGGATGAAATTTACTATTTCTTGATCGTTGAAGGATAAAATTGATGTTAAACCGTAGTTAGATGACCAATTTAGTATTTTCCTATTAGTTGAAGGATAAAATTGATGTCAAACTATAGTTGGATGACAAAAATCCACTTTCCAAATAGTTGAACGACGAAATTCTGGATCATGTCTCCGAACTATTAAGGTACAACTCTACTTATTAGGAAATATGAATTTGGTCATACACCCTATTACGAAACAATAATTTGATCATTCGATTATTAAGAAACAACAATTTTGTCGTAGGGCACATTTCCAAGTGGTAAAAGGGGAAGGAGGAAAAATTCCAGCTTTGATTGAGGATTCGAATTCTATAATATGGATTTGCCCATTGGTAAGTGCAAGTGTACAAGCAGTCTTTAACTTTGTACCCTTGAAGGCATAACTTGCGATTTACCTCATTCACCAAAACCTAAAACATGACAGGTGGAGGTTGTCAAGGATGTGGGTCATCTTTTATAATTAGAACAGAAATTAATGACATATATCTCAACCTTGCCACTATCTAATTAGGAAGTACAAAAAAGCAAACATGGATACAAAAACTATGTAATTGCGATAATTCAAGAAGTAGGTGATGATTGGCAGCAGCTACAGCAAAATCATATAGTGGGAATTATTATTCATATTTAGAGGGATTCAAAAGGTGAATAAACAAGCATTGAAGATTTGATATATGAGCTCAATTCAAATTCAATTAATCCATCTTGATATTTCAATAAATTGAATAAAAATGCATCTGCCCTGCACGTATGAATACAGTTGATTAATTTCTCGAAGGTCGGGATAAAAATTGATTGAGGACAATCTCACGACTTTTCTCAAAGATTGGGGACTAATTTTGCAATTTACTGAAAAAATAAAATTTCAGAAGTGTCCTCAACCAGTCAACCTCAAACTCAGCAGAATATACAAAAAGGCTTATCTTGATTGTGGTGGAAAATGGAAATAGAGGTGGTGAGCTTCAAGAAATACCAGTCTCTCTGTCTCCTGTCTCCTGTCTCTGTCTCTCTCTGTCATTTATTTTCACATCACTCTCTGCCCAACTAAAACAGTTACTCTCTTAACTTAAGAAGCAATGGCTTCCTTTGGAGTTAGACACAATTTTAACATAAAGCCTTTGAGATTTTCACCATTTGACTGTTTTCCAAAGTCGCCAACACTATTTATTAGCAACAACAAGACTGTTCGGTTCCTAGGTTGTGGTGGCGAATTTCCCAGCAAAACTAAGTTAAGTGCAGTCTCCAAGGCATCATCAGACGGCATTTCGCCCATTGATGATGAAGATGGAGTGTCTTTGGGAACCTTGAAACTGCCTGCCAACACTGACCTTTCAAGATTTGAATCCTTACTCTTTCAGGTACTTTGAATTTCGAATTATATTGGAAATCGATTATAATGGTGGCATTGTTGAATATGCTTAGAAATTAGCATCTATCAAAGATTTGAGTCTAAGAATGTTGCAATATGACTCATAGATCTTTGTCGTGCCTAAACCAAGCTGACTCATAGTCATAGTCTTCTGTTTGATCTTATCCCGGGAAAGTATAATTTGCATAAGTTTCCCATTTTAATCTACTGATGATTGTTGGAACTTTTGTTATCATGAGTGAAGATTTGTTTGGACTCCTTGTATTGTAATCCTAGATAGCAAAAGAATTCAAAGATTAAGGGAAAAGAGCTACTATAGTGTAGCGTTGTCCCTACATATTATATTGTTGAGAATTATAAACTCTAATTCTATTTCGTCAAGAGCAATCAATTCGAAAAAAATAAATAAACACTCAAGAACATGCAAGATTTATAGAGATTCGCTTGAATATAAGACTATGTCATTTTCACCACTGCAATAATTTACTATGATGAAAAAATGTTTTCAAGAGAAAATCGCTCTCCTATCTTTGCCGGCCTTTCTTTCTTTCTTTTTGATGATGATTAGTCTTCACAACTTAACATATATATCAACTTATAAGATTCCTGTATAATGAATCACCTTGTTAAATGTTAGAGAATCATTTTTGGATGGTTAAAAACAAATGGTTTGGCTGTACATCTTTCTTTGGTGACATTAGGGATTAAGACCATCTTACAGAAGATGAAAAAACAAACAGGGCCAATGGACTTCGGCACAAAACTATGCTGTAATCTCAAATGTTTAATACTTGCTTGATATGTATATTCATATTCTTCGCAGACTGCTTAACGTTAATATCAGTTATTTATTTGTATGGAGAACTCCTTGTTCACTTGTGTTATAAAATGTTTTATTGCCTGATTCAGTTCAGTAAGTTTAAAATGTTATAATTCTGCATTTCTTCCTTGCTCAGCAGGAATTTAAGGCTTAAATGTAATAATTCTTGATTATGTACTAATATAAATTGACAAGTGGGCGAACAGTCTTTGCCAAGGTGCTAATTTGCCTATGCCGGTGCCTTTGAAGGTCAGTAATGTTTATAGTACTAGATTCATAATGCTCGTTACTTCAAGTCTTCAACAGAAACTAAGGTCATTCTCCGACCACCTCCTTCTCATGAAGTAGTTTGAGTGAGTCTTGTTTATGACATAGGAAGTGCTTTTTCCCAAATTTCTTGTTAAGCAACTGTTTTGCAATTTTCCCAACAGGTCGACAAAATTCCAGCTGGAGCTAGACTTGGCTTTATCACAATTGGAGACGGAGAGACTGAGGTCGTTGTGTACATAGACTGCTTAGTTTTTCCAGCTACTGAGAGTTCTGGTCCTCTATTTCGAGCTATAAGGAATGGACCCATGAAAAATGAGTCGCCTCCTGGAGAGCCAAGAATCATGAGAAGCCTTCTAGATGCCCTAAAAAAGTCTGTTGAAATAGCAAGACTTTAAATTTACTGGTAGCAATATATCTTCATTCTGCTTCATATTTGAAAGATTGTAGTCATCTTTGCTGTGGTCTAACATAGTGAAATGCAAAACTTCTTATGAAGTTGATATTTTCGTGGAGGGAATAACAAGCTTGTCCACACACCAGCCTGCAGATAAATGTAGTGTAACTTCTGTTCTTTCGTTTACACATCTACTCCACGCTCACTTTCAGTTGACTAGAAAATGTGAGGATTATTTAAGTTTTCAAATATAAGGAAAGTTTAATTGTCAGGGAGAGCATGTAACCAAGTGAAGTCCAAAAGAAGTCGAGAACACCATTAAACAGAGTAAGGGACCAAATCTATTTGACCCGGCCAAAAGCCCCGTAATGCGACATATTTGGCTGAACTTAAATTATGAATAAATCAAGGACCTGGACGGCTGGACCCCCACCCATTTTTTTGAAAAAAAAAATTTTTTTAATTTTTTTTTTTGGGCTCAAATTTTTTTTAGTTATCTTCTAACTAATCCAACTCCAGAATTTGTAGGATTACAAGGTCTTTGTGAACTTGCACAAAAGTTAGTTGTGACAAAATAAATGAAGTATACCCGTTATTATACAGAATTGATGATAATGTAGTTATACAACGTTATCAAAGTATGAGAACTCGAAGGGGACGGTTGTAATAAGGTATGATTTTGCTAAATTAAATATTAATACTATTTTTTATACGTTTTTTGATTTTTTTGTTAAGTCTTCGTACATTAATTTATGTTCCTTTATTTCTTTTCTCTATTACAAAATACCAAATTTCCTCATTTTAACACATAATGTTTCAAAAAAAAAATCGAGGGCACCCCGTAGCCCCCCACCCCTTCAATTCCGGGACTGCCCTAATTCAACGAGCTGGCTCCGCCCCTGAGTGCAGGGGTAGAGTTCCGGCTTTATGGACCTTATTTATTATTTTCGCACGTTATATATAGATATAATGTAATTTAGAGTTTCTTTGTATTATCTTTCGGAGTAGCAACACATCGTGTACTCATTTTTCATATAGTGAATTTCTCACCATATGCATGCGATTTTTTCCCGTTTTGGATTCCACATAAATCCTGTTTTCTTGTTCTTAATTTTATATTGCCTATTCTCGCTTCTTCGTTACAAAACATCTAAAGAGTCCCTTCTCATTATCTATAAAGTTCTGGAGAGATTCATTTATTGTAATCTTGCAAGTTTGTGTGTGAAGTACTATCAAATTGAGGCCTTAAAGCTCCTAGTGTATACCATTAGAGATCAAGATTTCACAAATTGTAAAGATAGTGATTGAAGCTCTATCTTAGACTTTGTAGTGGCTGATAAGCAAGTTGGGGTATGCCGAAAAGCTCTGTTTTTTATTGAGATGTTTACTTTTAAATCGTACTAATTGAAAATTCTTTCATAATTCAAATAATTATTTTAGTTTTTGTTTAACTACCAACATAATTTCTAAAGGTAATATGTTAATTTTTTATTAGTTAATTTAACAAAGAAATTCAGTCAGTAAACTATAACTCGTTTGACCCTATTATTTGATATTATAATTTTTTATTTTTTTTTTTTAAGTGTAGTTAAAAAGAAGAAAAAATCTTGGGTTTTACGTATGATATTATTTTATTGGAGAATATGTGGTTGATAAAAAGAAAGAAAAAATGATTATAATTTTAATGTTAGCCAAACGAGAGCTAAATTTATGTATGTATATATATATATATATATTTTTTTTTTTTTTCTTTTTTTTTTTGTCAATATCATTTCTTCATTTTTTTTATTTATTACTTACAACATTGGGCTCAAAATTTCTTCGAAGACTTAAACTTCTCAAAAAAAAAATTTAATTATCAATGACAAAAACATATATACGTGATGGTAATGAATGGTTAATATAAATTACAATGATGCTAGTTTGTACACCGCCGTAACTAACGTAGTCACATAGTATCAAATTGTTAGAATAAAATAAATAATATTTGTGAACAAATAATCTAAACAGAGAATAAATAATTTAGTTGGACTTTAAAACCCGAGGCCTGTGTGAACATAATTTCCTTAAAACAAATTCGCTCTCTTACCGTAGGTGCTTGAGATTTAATTTGAGCGTCTATTTCCCAAGATACAACGGTAAACCAATAGAGTTCGAGCATTGCATATTTTACTCAGGAGAACTGACTTATTATCTGAACAATATCATCACCAAGACCTTGACAGACAGTAAAATACGTATGCAGACAGAGGACAATTTCGTGTGTTTTAGAACTATAATGCAGACTCTTTCTTTATATCTGGAACACTTAAAAACGAGACTATATATAGACATAACCCAAGAATTAAGAGTTAAATATGTCAACAATTCAATTACAATAATGATTGGAGTTTCATAAACCAAAAGTCCATTGAAGTTTCAACAATTTCAAACTTAATGATAATCATCATTGAAGTTTCAGAAACCAAAAATCAGTTGTTGAAAGCAAAAAAAAAAAATTTGACAAAACATAGGCCCTCCTAAGGAGCCAATTTTTTGTCAATTTGGTCCGACATTCGTATGCGTAGGTCGCGTTCGCACACAAGTTCAAGTTCTGAAGCCTATTATGGTTTGTGATTTGCACCCCCCTGTACACGCATGTGGAGAGAGCCTCTATACTACACATGATTACACACTTTCAAAGTGTAGCAATAGATAAAGTGGTTCTTGCTTTCATAGACTTCCTATATAGGATAAACTCAAATTTAGCTTTTCCTCTAATATAAACCATATTCCAATGGAACACTTTGAACTCCAATTTTTCATTCACCAGAGTTTCATTTTTTACAAGTAAATACATGATTTCGTTGTTCTCGCGGAAGAGAACACAAATCAATGTTGATCTTCCAAATAAGCAAACAGGTCCCACTCAAAATTTATTCCAAAGTTAGCAATTTCCTCATTTTTTTCCAACAATCCCTTGAATGGAAATTGGGAGAGACATAAAACGTGAAGCAAAGACTTGGTGATAAAGTTCAACGGTTGAAACCTGCATAGGATAGGTAGGTATTACCCTTTAAACCTTCCCTTGTGAAAGAATATTTACTTTACTAGCTAACTAGTAGACACACTGTCTTTGAACTGTTCTGCCGTTTATGTAAACGATGATATGCTCCATATAGGATTCTTCCTAACACAATTCAGTTCTCATTATCATATTCGTTTTTAACCATGAACATATGTCTGGTTCTGCGAAAATTCTTAAGAATTGAGCCCCACATAATTCTCTCAAAAGAGGCCCCACTTCTCTCTCACATAGGTGATTTCTTATTATAAGTAACCCGCATTACTTGGCTCGATTTTCGACGCATAAAAATGTTGCTTATCCTTCATCCGTATGGGCATCACTGTTGCATCACAAGAATGGACATGAGGCAACATTTTGCCACAGTGATTCAATTAAGTCTTTATAATTAGGTTGTCCCTTTGAACCTACATCTTGGGATCTCTAGTCAACTATGTTGTGTTTCCTTTATATTTACTTATCCGTTCAAGGGCTTAAGTCTCATTCATTTCTATGATTTCCCAACTAATTCTCTATTTAACCCTTTGGTTAGCGGATCCTCAATGTTATCATTTGACCTTACATAGTCAATAGTGATAACTCTAGTTGAAAGTAGTGATAAGTGTATTTTTGCACACTTATTTAATACTTAACTATACTTATTATTGATAAAAATGAGCGAATTTCTATTCACAATTATGTAAATGATAACTCTAGTTGAGAGTAGTTATCTTATGGTATTGTGTCTACGACGTATATGTTAAGACTTACCATTGTACCTATTACTCTGTGCCCTTTCAATTGCTGATTGATTATCACAATATATGCAAATTGTTGGCACATGTTTCGACAATTTTGGAAAATCCTCTAAGAAGTTACGTAACCACTCAATCTCTTCACTGCATTTATCTAAAATTATAAACTCAGATTTCTTGATAGATCTAGCTATAACAGATTGTTTAGAGGATTTCTAGGATATAGCTGTACCTCCCAATTTAAACACAAATCCACTAGTGATTTGGAGTCTTTCATACCAGATATCTAATTTGCATCACTATATCCTTCAATGGCTGCTGGATATCTGGTATAGTGCAGTCCAAAATTACGAGTATATCTTAAGTACCTTAGTACTCTTATTAATCCTTTCCAGAGGTCAGCTCCTGGATTACTTGTTTGTTTACTAAATGTGTATGATATGTCTGGTCTTGTACAACTCATCAAATACATCAGACTTCCAATAATTTTAGAGTATTCTACTTGAGAGACACTTTCCCCTTTGTTTTCAGATAGATGCTGACTCGTATATATTGGTGTTCTATCCATTCCAGTATCATTTTTACTATACTTTTATAGAATTTTGTCCACATAATGTGACTAGCTTAGAAAGAGTCCATCTGATGTTCTGTTAATTTTAATTTCAAGTATGACATTAGCTAAACCCATATCTTTCATGTCAAACATTGAATTTAACATATTTTTAGTGGATTTAATCATCTTGTCGTTGCTACCAACAATAAGCATGTCGTCAACATAAAAATATAAAATGACGTAACCATTTTCGGTGTCTTTGATATAAACACATTTGTCACACTCGTTAATCTTAAATCCACATTACATCATAATATTGTTAAATTTTTCGTACCATTATTTTGGAGTTTATTTCAAGTCATACAATGATTTCACCAATTTACAGACTTTCTTTTCTTGTCCTGATGATGAAAAACCCTCGGGTTATTCCATATAGATTTATTCATCTAAATCTCCATTTAGAAAAAGCAATTTTAACATCTATTTGATATACTTCAAGATTTCTCAGAACTGTAATCGTAACTATCATCCTAATATAGATGTTATTCTCGTTATTGAAGAATATGTATCAAAGTAATCAAGGTCTTCTCATTGTCTGTAATCTTTTATTACTAATCTGGCCTTATACCTTTCGATTGTTCCATCTGCTA